CTCACGCCGCGCTTTTCGCCCGCCCCCCAAATCACAGCCCCTCTGCTTTATTTACGAAAATAAAATATCGATTTCTTTATTTTAAACAGAAAAGCTCACTTCCTTTTTCTTTTCTGTAGGAAGATCAGAGAAAAATCAAGATTTAAGAGAAACCGCGGCATCCAACGATTACGAACAGGAGCGTAAAATACGATGACCAACAGCAGCAATATTTGAAACCCCCACCAACAGCCCCCCTCCTGCCCCTGCCCTTCATTCTTGTTATTTTACACCGTTGTGTAATTACCGCTGTGTAATTTTTCAGAAAAATCCCAACCCCAACTCTGCAGCCCGGGCAGAGGCGGGGGGACGGGGCTGTGAGCAGCGCGACGGGGTCGAAGACGCCCCTGCCCGCGGCCTTCAAAGGCCCCTTCCATCCCAAAGGATTCTGTGATTTCACGTCCCGCTTGGATCTGCACAGCGCTTTGCTCAGAAGCCGGGAGCAGCTCTTTAATTTTGCTTTTGAGAAGGATCTAAATAATTCCAAACGTACCAGCGTGCACCGGCACTACGTGTCCGTCACCTCTTTACCCGTTCCCGCCACCCCTCCGTCCTCGCCCCCGCACCCTGCCCGCGCCTTTCTGCCGGAACGGCGTCAGCTCGCAGTGCCCAGCTGAAGGAAAAAACCGAGGGGATAAGGGTGAAGAGGGCACAGAAGGGAAGAGCTCAGCAACAGGGGGAAAAAAGAAATAAAAAATTAAAAAATAACGATAATAATCAAGCTCCTTACCCTGGAGCCTCAGCTCGGGCACCGACACGCGAGAGTCCCGGCCCAAACTTGCCGCAGTTCGCACACCGTCAAAGGGAGAACTGACCCCGCCGGGCTCTGCTCCGAGGCCAAAGGCAAGGCTGCTGCTCCGCGAGGCCACCAGAACAAGACCTTCCCAGAAGAGACGCGCGTGCCGACGTGGGAACCCACCTGGCGGCAGACTCCTCGGGAACGCGCGGCAGCTCACAGCGCTCGCCCGTGCCAAGTTCAAGGCCCCGGGGAGGCCTGGTTTGAGCCGGTTGTGAGACTCCCGCGGCAGGCGCAGAAGGGAGCCCGGCTGCCTGGTGCAAGTCAGTCCGGCACAAAAAGACCCCGTAGCAATCACCGCCCTGTCCTGATACATGAAGCTTTTTTAGAAGATTTCAAATCAACATCGTATCATAGAGCTTTTACTAAAAGCCACTGATTTTGTCTTGGTTTCCGAGTAAGTTCTCAATGCCGAAAGCATTCACGATCGCCGATTCACGCGCATCGTGAACCTGTGCTCCCTTCGTTTCCTCTGGCTCTGTCCTCACGGCGCTTGCTGGGGACTCAGAAGTCCTAAGAGCAAGCAGAATAATAAAAGCCAACCACTGATGACGGCGGAGACAGAGCTGCTGGTTTTAACGCACTCCTTGTATTTCGTAAAATCAACTTCCCTGATGGCACAAACGTGATCGACGCGGCAGGCCTCCTCGCACGCGGTGAGGTCGTATCTGACTGAGTTGAACTCGTAGTACCGCTGCAGGTAGCGCGGATCCTTTGATATCCTCTCCAGCACCGTTTGCATGGAGCGCGCAGAGCCGTCGGGGACTTGGAAGGCTTCTGTCAGCCTGTACTCTTCCTCCCACGCTGGGAACTCTTCCCCCCATGTTGAGGCCATCAAGTTGGCACGAGTTAGGTTCAAGAAGTAAGTCACCACATCCTGCAGGGAGAGAAAAACAGAGCGAGGACAAATCAGGGAAGGATCAGGCCTTGAGTGAAACGCTTGGCCAGGACGCGATCAGCTCCTTCTCCCGGACACGGGGGGCCGCAGGCGCGCGCGCCGACGCAGGCAGCGCAGCTCCCTGCCCGGCCGGGGCTGAGCTGCCTCCCCGCAGCGGCTTTCTGCCGAGATGTGAACCTGGGGCCAGGCACCTCAGGTGGGAGCCTCCAGAACCCACCACAGGAGCGTCCCATTTCGTAAGGAAAGGCTTTTCTCTGCTTGCCTTTTATCTCCAAACATCAGGAATTTTGAATTCAGAATCACTCTGTTAGTTACTACCAACACCGTCCAGCGGCAAAGCAAGGGCTGGAGCAGTGTTACTGGCTGAAGTTATTTTCTCAACCGTGAACAAACTAAAGATTAAAGTTTTTCACAACTTCTGTTCTCAGTCTCTTGCCCTTTTCCCCTCTGCTTCATTCCCTCCCCAGCCTTCCACCGTGCCTTTTAGCGTTCATTTCTCATGCTATAAACATGTAAACAGAGCATCTACGGAGCTGCTTTATCCATTGCAAAGAAAGGCACCAACACCCCATCCTCCACCTCTCTGCAAATAAGAGACAGAGGAAACAGAAGCTGCCCCTACAATTCACCTAAATTCAGATCCATTACAAACGAATTCATTCACCAAGAAGGGGGACCCAAATAATTTTCGAGATGGCTAGAAGTTTTTGGAGGGGGTTTGACAAGTCTGTCAGTCCCCAAAGAGAAGTTCTGCAATCCACGTGGCCAGGGGAGTAAAGCAAGCGTCAAAGGAGACCAGCTGAAGACGTGACGAACACGACAAAGCCTGTCCTGCGCTGCCCTGGGGAACCCAGCCCAGCAGAAGGCCCCGGCCTTCAACTGCGCTCCCCTGGCCTTTACTCACTGACGCTCTTACTAAATCTCTGCGCTAGCCGTGAGGCTGAAATGTCCGGGTTGAGGTCCCCTCCGACACAGCCACTGGGCTCCTGTAGTCCCGCCTGTTACAATCACATGGAGGAATTACAGCACCCTTCTAAAACTGCAGTGGGCGGCACATGGGGATCCCCTACCAACACTTGAAGGGTGTTCGGATCATAGTCGATCACCCGAATCCCAGGGTTGTTGGCTCCGTTGTTCACTCCAGGTAACGTTGTTTTCCAGGGAGTCACTCCAGGGGCCAGGAACATGACGTTGATTGGAGAACCTTAACAGAAAGGCAAAACAGCCCATGAATGGGAGACCCTGCCTTGGGTCACACCCTGCCCATGCTGCAGCGAGCACCCCAGGAACGGAGCACACTGCAAACTGCAGCTTCGTCACCAGCCCCAGTTACAACAGCGCGGGCATAAAGATCAGCGCATTGAACGGCATCGGGGATCGAACACGGGTCTGCTGCAGCTGAGACCAGGCTTTCCACTGCTGGCGAAGACTCTTGCAGTGAGGGTGCACAAGAGAACCACGCTCAGCAAAGGAGACCCAGAGCACCCACAGATTCGTAACTGCTCCCTTACGTCTCAGCTGGTGTCCAAAACCCGTCAGCAGGGAGCAGGCAAGAAGTCGCAAGGCATTGAAGGGAAACAACAAAATTTGAGGGTAAACAGGAAGGAGGGCTGGAGCTACAGGCTGGGGGCGGAGATCAGGACCACTGCTGTCTCTTGTTGGCCAAAGGACTTCACAAGCCTTTTCTGGCTTCTCAGCTACGTTCAGCTAACAGCCACTGAAAACTCTCATCGACAAAGATTTTCTGGGGCTTGGCGGAGCTATCGCGCAAGTGCTTGGGTGGCCAGAATACCTGTATCACTGTAAAACATCCGAAAGCTGTCCATGTGCTGGTGCCCGAAAAACTGGGCAGCAATCACTCTGTGGTGCTTCTTTACAATTTTCAAGTATCGTTCATTAAAGCCACTCCGGAACCAGGGCTTGCCTCGTTTCTTCTCAAAGAAGCCAGGAGGGACGTGCCCCACGATGTAGACCTACCAAAGCAAAGAGTCACACTGAATACAAAGGCCATGCTTCCCACAGAGCGCTGGCTTGCTGTGACTGCACAGAGGGGAGAGCAGGAGCAAGAAGAGCTTCCAGGCTGCGAGAAACCCTCTGCAAAGTTTGTTTATTCATTTATTTCAATACCATTTCATTTGCTCTAGAGGCATTGGTCAGCGTTTCTTCCAGCCACTGGAACTGCCCTGCAGGATCTTCCTCACCAGCTGTCTCGTTATTCTGGTCATAGTACAGATTGGTATTGAGGACAACCATTCGCCCCCTTGTCCCTGGGCTGGGCAGCTTCTCACTGTAGAACGCTCCTGAAAAATGCAACCGGCAGGGGAAAGAGCTGGAGGTCTGCTCACGCTGGCTGCCGTGACCCCAGATCCCTTTGTTTCCACCCCTCTCAGCTCTCCCTGGCAATAGCCACAGCAGGGTCGCTGTCCGGACAAGGTGCCAGCAGCGCTCTGACCGCTCCAGGATGGGGATTTGGAGCGACTCTTCCCCCTCTGTACCTCTTGTCGCACTTATGCCTCCCCAGGCGAAAGGAGACCCTGCATGGGGACAGCGTGCAGCAGCAGCAGCTGGGCAGCCCGAGAGAGCCACAGTGCTGGCCTGCGCCAGCAGCTTGCTTAAAAGATCTTTTTTCTTCCACTGAAGCTCACCGCTCTGCACTCTCTGCAGGGACACTTTCCAGTAACTCAAGGAAAGCAGGAGAGACTAAAGCATAAAGAAATTTCTTTTCTCATATGCAGGAGAACTCAGTGTCAGAAATCAGCATTAAATTGGACCCTTCCTCTGCAAATACTCTTGTCCTGGTTTCAGCTGGGACAGAGTTAATTTTCTTCTTAGTAGCTGGTAGAGTGCTGTGTTTTGGATTTAGGATGAGAATAATGTTGATAACACACTGATGTTTTAGTTGTTGCTAAGTAGCGTTCACACTGGTCAAGGACTTTTCAGCTTCCCGTGCTCTGCCCGGTGCACAAGAAGCTGGGAGGGGCCACAGCCAGCTCAGCTGACCCAGACTGGCCCAAGGGCTATTCCATACCATATGGCGTCATGGCCAGTATAGAAACTGGGGCGAGTTGGCCAGGGGGCAGCGATCGCTGCTCGGGAATGGGCTGGGCATCGGTCGGCGGGTGGTGAGCAATTGTGTCGTCTATCACTTGCTTTGTATATTATTATTGTATTATATTATTACTACTACTACTACCATTCTATTTCATTTTACTTCAATTATTAAACTGTTCTTATCTCAGCCCACGAGTTTTCTGACTTTCACCCTTCCAGTTCTCTCCCCCAACCCACTGGAGTGGGGGCAGTGAGCGAGCGGCTGGGTGGGGCTTAGTTGCCAACTGGGGTTAAACCACGACAACTCTACAAATACTGTTGCTCTGAGCATAGAAGCAGGGAAGACTATCTGTGGTGTTCTCCTAAGCCACCCCCATCTCCCCAGAGTGCTGTCAGCATGAGTCAGAGGTGCCATACCTGCTCTGAAAAGGGCAATGGAAGCATCATTCAGCCAGGGACGCCACAGTTCAGCTGTTCGGTTGTAGATCCTGTGCTCCTTCCCTGGAAGCTGACTCTTGGGGTGGAAGTCATGATTGCCCATTGCCGCGTAGACTTTAGTATCTAGAGACAGAGAAAAGGAGGCAGAGAGGAACCCATGCTTGCTTCAGAGTTCCTCAGCACTGAAGCTCCCTGAGGCACTCACAGACTTGGAAAGAACAGCATGGCTTGAGAGCTTTGCAAAAGCGAATCATCCACACCACAGCCGTACGGGGAGGGGGGGTACAACACTGCAAAGACCACCCCCCCTCGGGACAAGCCACCCCAGAGCCACCGCTGCTTTACAGATGAATCAGTGAGCTGCTATTTCCTCAGGGAAGGCTTGCAGCCTTTTCTGTCTTAATGACTAACTACAGAAACATTTGTTTATTTCCCTCTCTTCTGAGTGAGTTAGCCTGAAACAATGAGTGTGCATCAGGCGCCTCAGTTCAGACAAAGAGGACAAGAAAGTCCCAATGACCACAGCCCTTCTGTGCCTTTCCCCTTCCCAGTTCTGTCACCCCTCCACCCTGGTGAGCTCTTCCCTTGAGACTCTGTGCCCCTCTCCCCTTCTCATCCCCTCAAATCATACCTGGAAATGTCTCCTTTATCAGAGAAGTCAGATTTGCTATTATGTGCAGAACCTTTTCTTCTCCAAGCTTCTCATTGGGGACGTGCGGAGTATCATCTCTAGAAACATAAAAGCAGCAGTCACTGTCTGTGACTAACAGCATACGCATAAAGTGATAAGCAAGGCAGAGAAACTTGCTTCTCTCTCTTTTTTTTTTTTTTTCCCCCCCCAGACAACAGAGTCAAAGCTTTTGGGGCAGGAATCAGCGCTATGTTGACTGGCCAAGGCACTGAAGGAGTTCCAAGGAATTGCTCAAAGCGAAAACCGGCTCCGCTTTATTCTACCTTGAAAAACCTGTACACACCCATATGAAGTGGAGGCTCACTCTGGCTCAGTGCCTTTAATAAGGCACTAAAGCTGACTGGAAATATTGCAAGGAACAGAATTTTGCAATCTCAGGTCAACGTCTGATCGGCAATAGTGAAGCACAACTGTTTGCCTGGCTGTTTGAACAGCAGGATAACAACTCTCATTAAAACAAAACAAAGGAATGCCTCCAGTAAGGCAGTGATCATTGAGGCCTGCCTGCAAAAACGCAGCAGACAAACAATTCAGTGTTTTCACTAATATGCTTATGGCATTTCTAGATGATGCTGGGCTGTCAACAAGCCCATTGGAGAAGATCAAAATTCAAAATTATGTCAAAGAACTGGGAGAAATAACCTGAAGGAAAAAGAAAAATCAACATAAAGTCATAAGGACCAATAACTACTTCTAAGTAGGAACAGTCATCCACAGAGACAGAAACCGAAAACGTGGGGTCAGGCAACAGCACTGCAAACCAGGACTGGAGGTTACAGCAGATTACAGGTTGACGCTGCACTGTTAGAAGAAAAGCAAACATTACAAGAGGACACATATACTTAAAATAATCCTGCAAAATAAAGCTCTTTCTGTCTCTAAGTGCTATTGAGGCCTCCTGTGGAATAGGGTACCCACTTCTGGAGACCACACTAGGAGAAAACATGCTCCATTTGGGGAGGTTCTCCATACTTCTATAACAAAACAGCCCCTTTTTGAAACAAGCCTCCCAGGTGCCTCTTTACAGTTTGAAGAAATGCCACAAGTCTGTTTTGCAATGCTCTCTTCCCATTGCCTCTAGCAGGCAGGAGCCGCTGCGCCAACAGAAAGCGCACGTCCCATTCCCCTGAGCGTTTCAGATACTCAGAGTTTGTGTGAAGTCGGACAGGGCTGGCCACAATTAAAATGAAAAGGAAGGATAGTGAATTGTGATCCTTTCCTTACCTTACTGTTCCTCACTGTGGGGCTCGTCCGGAGCCTCTCGCTGGCACCGAGAGGCCTCATGGCGGTTATGCTCTCCCCCAAAGCCTCCGCTTCGCATCGTAAGGCGCATCCTTATCTCACCTCTCCAAAACGGCTACCACATGAGGAGCCCCGGGTCTCCCACAAGCTCCCTCCACCCTGGCCGCCCCTTCTCCCATCAAACCCTGGCGACCCTCAGAGCAGGCAGGATCGCCCACAGCCCCAGAGCGACCGTAACCCTGGAGCCCCGCTGCCGATCCCTGGGAGAGCGGGTGTTTCTCCTCGGGGAGAAGCCGCTCTCTAAGGAGGCAGACGCCGTCCCTCAGCCCCCAGGGCTGCGGCGGGGGGCCGGGGGAGGGGGGCTGAG